TTATGCATGACATCAATCCACTTTTTAGAATTATTCATTTGCATAACTTGATGAAAGTTGATTCATCAGTTCTTCTTTCATCAATTCATGACATCTTTATTTTATGGAAAAAAGACTATAAAGTCATCCGTAATTTCTTTTCTCGTTTTTATTGTGGACTTCCTTAATGACATTTGTTCTTGAGGTTGTTGAGTTTTTTTTTTTTTTGGAACAATCTCTTTATTTTGTATAGGATATTTTTTAATATTATCTTGATCCAAAATTGCTTCTTGAACAAGATCTAGAGCAAAAATTTGTCTTTAATCGTGATCATTGTCAATTCCGAAAACTCAACATTTTCAAGGAATCAAACATTTTTCGTATCGAAAATTGACCTAATAGTGAAATCTTTTAACAAACAATGTGTAACCCCTTAATGATTGCTTTAGTTGGAACTTTATTGAGAATTTAAGTTGCAGTCTTTAGTGTTTCTACCAGGAGAGATTTTGATGTAATGTGAGATGATTCCACATTCCTCTAGGATTTAACAAAAGGCCCTGGACATTGTTCTCCTAATCCGTTATCTCTGTCGAAGTATTCACTAATATAGTAACATCTGATTTGTTAAATGCTTTTACAGAGTTTTTTTCAACATGAGCCTTGTATGCCTTGAACATGTCTAGTGTTTGGAATTTCTTTTAGATGAGATATAGGTAGTCATAGTAAGAAAAATTCATCTATGAACATAATAAATTATTGTTGGTCATTCCAAGAAGTCAAATGAATGGCCTACAGATATCCGCATAAATTAGTTTTAAGACACCCAAACTCCTATGACACCTAATCTCCTTATGTTTGTTTGTTTTCCCTTAATGTAATTAACATAAAGACTTAAGTCTCAAAAATTAAAGGAATCAATAATTCATTCTCACACAAGGTTTTTCATTCTCCTTTGAGATATGTTACCTAATCGTGTTTATGTCATACTGAAGAAAAATTTTCATTGGTTAATTTATATTTAATACCATGTTAATTCATATGTAAGGTTTCTTTATAAGAGGGAACTGTAATAAGCATATATAGGTTATCGTAATCGGATAAAGAACTGGTATCCACANNNNAACTAAGAAAAAGATCAAACTGACTATTTCCAATCGAATAAGAGTAACCGAATTTGCCCAAGGTAGAAATAGAAATCAAATCCCGTCCAAAAGACGATACTGCAATATCTCTTTCATATTCAAATCGTAACCAATCTTTAATAACAACCTAAAAGTCCATATAGCCTCAAGCTTAACTGATTTGACATTACCTCACATAGATGAATTTTTCAACATTAATTGACTTTTGGCTATTAATGCAACCTCGCATAGACATACTTACGTGAGTGGTAGCACCAAAATTTTATCCACTAAGTCTATCTAGTTATTGAAACTAAATTACAATCAAAACAAACCAAATTGAGAAGTTTGCTTTGGTATTTAGTACAGTCTCTCTTTATATATCTCAAATTTTCACAAAAGTAACAGCCATATTTATCATTTTCAGGCTTTCCCTATTTATTCTAAATCGAACCGGATAAAACTTTCTAATTCTTTATAACTTGTTCTTAGAGATACTTGCTAAGTGAGTAATATCAATTTTATCTTACTTTAATATTTCTTTTTCTTACACACAATATGGAATGTGATCATTAATAGTCCACTTTCACTTTTAATAGTTGTAACTAACCTTAAATTAGTTGAATTGTGCAAAAATAGAAATCAAAACTAAATGTACGAGCGAGTCATCAGACAGCTCAACATTTAATGCTTTTAGTTTTGAAGAGAGATGAGACATCTCCATGATGTACTCTCTTATGTTTTATTTACCCTTATACTTTAGTAAAACTAAGTTCGCTAAAGGCGTGGTAGGTTTGGCCTTATTGCCTTTTGGAAAGCTTTTTTTTTTTTCAATTTCATCAAGAAACTCCTTCGCAATAGTTATATTATCGGATACAACATCCCTGAATGCAACTGGAATTTCACGTTTCATGATCATAAGACTTATACAGTTTCAATGATCCCACTTATCTAAGTCTAATTTTTATTAGCGGAACTTTTATCAGTAAGAGTAGTGAGTCATTCACTCATAAATGTAAGGTCTAGATTCATGCCGCCAAGAACGATATAAACATTCTCTTTCCAGCTTTTAAACTTTGTTCTAGCACAGAAATTAAATTGATATTGATAGATATTATAGAAGTTGATGTATTAACTGAATAAAGAATTTAAACCTAATTAACATGTTCACATAAGAATCCATATTGGACAATTAATAATTTCAAATAATGGTGAACCCCATCACAAGAAATCGAGCACGACATTGATATTTAGTTTTTGGACAGAAATTATAATTTGTAAGTGATACTCTTGGTGTAGTAA